TTCGTAGTCAGGTAGTAGTAGTGGTAGTAGTATTGGTAGTAGTAGCGGTAGTAGGAGTAGTAGTAGACGTATTAATAGTAGTGGTCGAAGTACTACGAGTACCACGGCTACGAGTAATACTTCTAGTGGGTGGTAGTACGAGTATGAGTACGAGTACGAGTACTAATGGTCGTAGTCGTAGTAGTAGCCGTAGCCGGCGTACAAGTAGTACTAGTAATAACACTAGTAGTCTTTATGGTAGTAGTTTTCGTACTAGTAGTAGTAGTAGTAGTAGTAGTAGTAGTAGTAGTAGTAGTAGCAGTAGTAGTAGTAAACATGGTAGTAGTGGGTGTAATAGTATTCACAACAGTAGCCGCGGTAGTGGTAGTGTTCAAATGAGTAGTAGTGGTAGCAGTAGTAGTAGTGGTAGTGAGGTAGAAGTAGTAGTAGTAGTAAGAGTCGTGGTAACAGTAGAAGTAGTCATAGTAGCACAAGTAGTAACATTGGCCATAACAATAGTACGAGTAGTCGCAATAGCACGAGTAGTCGTAGTAGTAGTAGTAGTAGTAGTAGTAGTAGTAGTAGTAGAAGTAGTAGTAGTAGTAGTAGTACTAGTAGCAGTACCCGTAGCAGTTGTCGTGGTAGTAATAGTAGTAGTACTAGTAGTAGTAGTAGTAGTAGTAGTCGTAGTAGTAGTAGTAGTAGTAGTAGTGGTAGTAGTAGTAGTAGTAGTAGTAGTAGTAGTAGTAGTAGGTAGTAGTAGTAGTAGTAACGGTGGTAGTAGTAGTCGTCGTCGTAGTAGTAGTAGTAGCACTACTACTACTAGTAGCACTCGTCGTAGTAGTACTAGTAGTGGTAATCATAGTAATAGCAGTAGAAATAATGATGGCAATCGTACTCGTAGTCATGATAGTAGCAGGAGTAGTAGAAGTACTAATAGTCGTAGGGGTAGTAGCTGTAGTAGTAGTACTGGAAGAACTGGTAGCAATAGTGGTAGTAGTGGTAGTAGTGGTAGTCGTAGTCGTAGTCGTAGTCGTAGTCGTAGTAGTAGTAGTAGTAGTAGTAGTAGTAGTAGTAGTAGCAGTAGTAGCAGTAGTAGTAGTAGCAGTAGTAGTAGTAATAATAATAATAGTAGTACTAGTCCTAGTAGTAGTAGTAGTAGTAGTAGTAGTAGTTGTTGTTGTTGTTGTTGTAGTAGTGGTAGTAGTAGTAATAGTAGTCGTGGAAGTCGGAGTGGTAGTGGTACTTAGTGGTAGTAGTAGTAGTAGTAGTCGTCGTAGTAGTCGTAGTAGTAGTAGTAGTAGTAGTAGTAGTTGTTGTTGTTGTTGTAGTAGCAATCGTATACTCATAACCGTGGTAGTCGTATCAGTGGTAAAGAGAAGCCGTGGAAGTACGAGTAACAGTAATGGAAGTAGTAGTAGCCTTCCCCAGTAGTGGCACTGGCAATACGGATAACCAAAAGCAGTAGCAGTAGTAGTAGTAGTAGTAGTAGTAGTAGTAGCAGTAGTAGTAGTAGTAGTAGTAGTAGTAGTAGTAGTAGTAGTAGTAGTAGTGAGAAGTGGAAGAAGATAGCATCTTCGATTCGTAGCTTTCCCTCGCGAAACAAATCAGCGTTGCCGCTCCTCTCCTCCGACCAACTCTGTCTTGGCCAGAGATAACCGACACTAAAGGGTTAAGGGGGGTGCTTTATCTTCTGGGGCACGGGGCTATGAGTATTATATATGCTAGTTTCGTGCGGAGGGAATGGCCCCAGCAGCAGTGCGCAGCCGCAAAGCTCAGGCTGCGACCCGGATGGCGACCTGCCATGGTTCACATATATTCCGCCGTGAGCACATCGTGGGCTTGGCCCCCTTTGTCATGCTGACAAGCCAATACGGCTGGCTGCTTGTTTCAGCAAAATATGTGTACCGACCAGAATTGATTACTATGCCGAGTCCGTCACATCATTGAGGTACGGGATACGAAGCAACAGAAGCCCAACGAAGATCACAACGCGTTCATCTCCACTGCCGAAGGGCCAGCGTCTTCTTGGCACGCCCAGAGCGGGGACGGACAAACATCCTAACAATGCCCAGCAACGAACGTCGTCCAAATCTGACAGCGGCCGATGGTGGGCAGGCGAGACTAACGGACAACGTTTGCGACGACACAGACAACGAGTACTGTTTAAAACTAACATGGACTGCTGTTGGATTTCGGTGCCATATCTTCCGTCACCATTCCGACGCATGGCCTGGGGAATCGATGTCCCAATGCCTCAGGAGAAGTCGAAGCGCTACGCAACTGGAGCCAGGATGAGCTTCCGAAAGAGCTTCCGTGAATCGGGTCCGCCCCGCAGGAAGACGGCCGCCCTGCTGTGTGCGCCTCTGCCCCGCAGAGCTTCGGGGCCGTCTCAACTGGGGGGGGGGCACTGTCCCCCACGACTTCGCCCCACGGCATGCTGGCGGAGGGCAGCTGGAGGAGAAGCGACGAGGAGAAGCCCTCTCCCCCGATGTCGCAGTTTCCCCAGGCCTCGGCACCAGTCCACGGAGAAGCGGCCTCCAGAGGCCGCAGGTATAGAAAGGCCGGCCGTCGCGAGTCCTGTTTGCGCCGCCAGCCCGGGCGTGAGGAAACGAGGAAGAGGGAGAACATATCGGATCGACTCAGCAGGAGGGAGCATCGAGAGAACCGCCTCGCTGTCGGGGGCTCCTCGTGGAGCCACAAGGTTGAGAGAACTCCCCGAAACAGTCACAGCGCTACTGATGTCCGGCCTGCTCGGCGGAGAACTTCTTCAGATCCCTCTCCCCGCTACCCCTTGCCAGGGAGGACAGAGGGAGGAGTGATGAGGGGCAGGTCCGTGAAAGAGGAGGGAGTGCGAGGGGCAGGCATGCGAAGGGAGGCAGCGAGGAGGAGGGAACAGGAGGAGAGAAGGGAGGAGGAGGACGAAGAGACGAGGAAGACACGAGGAGGGAGGAGGACAAGGAGGGAGCAGGAACGACGACGGGCAGGGGAGGCGAAGGGCGTGGGCTCCGCGGCGTGCGCGGCACGCCCGCAGGCCGATCAGACGTTGTACTTGGCGGCGGCCGGAGCAGCCAGGGGCTTCCTCTTCCCGTACCCCTTGAGGTGGTACTTCCTGAGCTCACGGGCGCCGAGTGACCCACACCGCCGGCGTCGTGCGCTTTCAAAGAGGGCGTCGGCCGCCCGGAACTCTGGGTCCACTCCCCAGGACCCGCTTGCCGTGCTGAGTCGTTGCTTGCTTGACGGCCCTGGGGCCGGGCGAGGGCCCTCAGAAGCAGAAAATAGCAGAACCCGTCCGGGGTGCTTTTTTGCCCTCTGCGTCGCAGCGCGGCAGAGGCAGTCCAATCCGCACGCGCGCTCTCGAGCGGGTCGGAACACGGTAGACCAGCGGTGTTTTATGGCCAATGACGCGAGGAGATCCGGTGGGACGTCCATTCTCAGTGCATGTTTCGACTTCGTGCGTGTGTTTTTCGCCAGAGGATCAGGCATGCCCCTCGCTGTGCACGGTTTCCCGCGGGGCCGTAGGCGACTCGAGGAGGAGGAGGAGGAGGAGGAGGAGGAGGAGGAGGAGAAGGAGGAGGAGGAGGAGGAGGAGGAGGAGGAGGGGAATGAGGATGGGCCGCGCGCGCACGCGCGCGCACATTCGCGCGCGGAGAGGAGGAGGAGGAAGGAGAAGGAGGGGGAGGACGAGGCGAGGAAGGGAGGAGGAGGAGGAGGCGCTGGAGGAGGAGGAGGGAAGGGAGGACAAGTCCGCCCCGCACGCCCCACGCCCCGGAGACACGCACAGAAAACACAAGACACGCCACAGCGATGGTCCGAGGCCCGGCGCCGCCCAGCTTTGCGGACCGCCCCCCCCGCCCCGCGGGGAGCGACCTGCGGCTCCCTGGCTCTTCCGCGCCTCGCGCGACACGCCTAGGCCACGGGGTCCCTCCGCCTCCCTCCCTGCCCTTCACTTCCCATCTTTCCTTGCAGTCCGCCGTCCCCTAAGGATCTGCGTGTCATACCTCCACTAACAATTCACACCTGAACTCCTCCCCCACACCCCCATTGCCCGGTTTGACGTCCTCCTCTCCTCCCTCCTCTCTCCTCCTCCTCCTCCTCTGCGTTCCTCTACTCACTTCCTCCCTCCTCCCCCTCCTCCTCCTCCCTCCTCTCTCCTCCCCTTCCCTTTCCTCCTCTCCTCCCTCCTCCTCCTCATCTCCTCCTCTCCTCCTCCTCCTCCTCTCACCTTCCACTCCTCCGAACCTCAGGGCTGGCTCGCACCGCGGCCGCGCGAGGAGCGAAAGCCTCGGCGCGCACGCGGGCGACCCGCGGCCAGCACGTGGCAGACGCCGCAGGCCCCCGCCCGCCGTCTCGCCTCGGGCTCCCCGGGACCTGCCCGGGGGTTCGAGTTCCTGGCCCGATGAGGAGTGCCCCCCCGGCTCAGACCCCCACGCCCCCAGCCACCCCAAGCCACCCCCCCGCCCACGACCCACACCCACGAGGATGAGACCCCGAAAGCCCCCCCTTTTCGGCCCGCCCGCCGCCACCATGCCTCCTCTCCTCCTCTCCTCTCCTCATTTCCTCCTCCTCCTCCTCCTCCTCCTCCTCCTCCTCCGTGGTGTCGACGTCGTCCACTTGGGCCCCGCTGTGGCCCCCCTTTCCATATTTCTTGCAGTTGCCGCGTCGCGCAGCAATGAACCAGAGTTGAGCTGATCCCTAATGCTTTCGATTCGACTCCTTCTCCTCCTCATCCTCCCCCTGGGCCCCCCTCTTCGGCGCACCCATGCCAGGACGATCGAATCGAAGAAGAAACAACGCCATGTACAGAAACTTTTGGCGCTCCCCCCGAGCGGCCCGGGGGTCCTGCTTTTCTCGGCGGCAGGGCGAGGGGAGGAAGTGAGAGGGAGAAAGCCTTCTCAGAAGGCGGCGGGGCTTCTGAGAAGTCCTCGCGCAATTCTGAGGAGTTGGTTGCGTCGTCGGAGAAGGCTCAGAGAACTTCCCAGAAGGCCTGGGGACTGCCGAGCCTTCTGAGAAGGCCTTTTCCTTCTCACTCCCCCCCTCGCTCGAAGCCGTGCTCTTGTATGTTCACGGGGTGGGATGCTAGGAGACTCCTAGGCACGCTCCACGCGAACACCAGGCCGTCCGAGGAGGCCGTGTAGAGGTAGCGCTGGCACGGGGTCCACAGGAGGTCCCGGATCCAGGCCTCGTGCAGAGGAGGGTGCACAGGAGTAGGAAGAGAGAAGGAGGAGGAGAATGAGGATGAGGAGGAGGAGGAAGGGAATAATGACAACAAAGGTGGGTAGAGGATACCCGATTGAAAAGGGGAAGCAAGATAGGTGAGGATGGTGCCACCGTGCAGAGGAAGAGAAGAGGGTAAGGACAGAAAGGAGGAGCAGACGGATGATTGCACGTAGCCGCGCCTAGGTTCGTCGGCATCACGCCGCGAGAACCCATGCTGCTGTATCCCTGAAACCAATGAGAGGGAAAGATGATGAAGAAGATCAGCCAGAATAACAAGAATATAACGCATTCTCGCCGTGACGACCTACAACAACAGACTGGCTCGCCCATAGTGGTGACGCTAGACATCAGGACGATGCCCAACAGGGAATGCCGTTCATAACAAACGGCTGCTGTTAGGCATGCGACGTTTGCCCAACATGGACAACGTTCGGGGCGACACCGACAATTAGTCCGGTTCAAACTGGGAAGAAACTACTCTTGGTTCTTGGACTTCGTCCGCATTCTCCCCGAGGACGGAACATGTACGCATCCACCGCTCCTCCACCGCCTGGGGCACCGATGCTCCAGGACCCCAGGGGGACGGTGAACACGGATATCCTCGGGCCCCGTGGGGCCCAGACGGTGGCTGCGCGCATGGCACACTCCGGGCACCCTGACCCCCTAAAATATTGGATGTCGTACATGTACACGTCGTTCATTTCTAATCGTGCTCATTTCCAATTGCGCTCGTTTCTAATTGTTCCTGGCCCCCTAGTGGCCAGGAAGAGGCCCAGGATAGAACAATTAGAAATGAAAGGATCTTGGCCCCGACAGAAACCAACGAACATTCGAATAATAAGAAATGAACAATGTGTAATTTGCCCGCCACCTTCCGCCGGCCTTCCACCTGCGGAGCCGCCGCCGCTTTACTTTCGTCGGCCTTCGGTCGAAGGCGAAGACACGTCGAAGGCAGCGCACTTTCCAAACATCCGACCTTGATTGTTTTTTTAACTCCCGCGGTCCCAGCAATTTGTCGACCATTTCGATGGCGACACCAATTCGCCCCAGGTCCATGTTTGATTGCCCCAGGCCCCCGGGAAGCGGAAGTGAAAGAACGCGCAGGGATTCAAATATCGACTCCACCCGAAATCCTGGAACGCCCTGCGCGTACAAATTCGGGCATCCAGCAAAGGAACGGAGCCAATCTGAGCCTGCATCGGACCATGGCTAAAACAGGGGTGCGCGCACACCAACACACGGATTATGGCCGGCCTCCCCTTCCCCGTAAGAGAACAAGGACGAGGAGGACGAGCAGGAGGAGGGCCTCGTGCGCCGTCCACGCCACCAACAGCGTCGGGTTCTGCATGTCCGGCAGCCACACCCTCACGTCGCAGTCCTCGAGGGGGGGTGGGGGGTACACAGCCCGAGCGACGCGCGGAGGCTCGCCGCACCCCTCCTTCTCCTGCTGCTGCTGCTCGTGCTCCTCCACCACTGGCGGTTCCTAGTCGTAACAGCGAAACATACACACATACACATACGAGGGACTGTTCAATGGCGGCCCGCTCGCAGACCTGGCAATGTTGTCAGTGATCCTCCTCCTCCTCCTGCTCCTCCTCTTTTAACCGAAGACAATGCCCCAAGAATCATGCTTGCTTAGAGGGTGCATGTGCCGAATAGCGGGCTGACAAGCCTCGCTAGGACTGTGCCTGTGACTTGCTCAGGGGACGCGCGGGCTGAATAGCCTCGCCCACTCTGGGTTTCCGCTGCTGGCGCTGTGCTGGAGAAGATCTTGCAGTCCGCTCTGCAAGAGCAAAGAGGTGCTGGATCCTCAGAGATGCTGGCCGAAAGGCAAGTGCAAATCTAAACCAATCCCAACAAAGAATGCTGGGTGTACTTGGCCGGGCAAGAACGCGCAAAACCCTCCTCCCACCTCCTCCTCCTCTTCTCCCACCTCCATCCTCCCTGCACTTCCCGCCACCCACCTCCTCCCTCCTTCTTCTCCTCCTCTTCTTCCTCCCACCTCCCCCTGCTCGAGTCGAGCACGCAGTGAGCGTCTTGTCATCAAGCTGAGCATGCATTGACCACCTCCTCCTCCTCCTGCTCCTCCTCCTACTCCTCATGGCCTCTGGAGGGCTGCTCCTGGGCCCAACGTGGCCAGAAGGAGGTGGCCAGCCGGACTACCGCGGGTCCCCAGTGGAGTACGGGGTCCATGGTGATGACGGCGATGATGGTGATGATGATGGTCGTTGTGAGCGTTGAGGATGAGGAGGGAGGGAAGGAGGCCAGAAAGGGGCCCCAGGACTCACTCATATCAGTCGTTCTCCCCGCTGCCGAACGCCAACTGATAGAGTTTGTGTGCGCGTGTTGCCGCTCAGTCCTTCGTGTTGTATGTTCTCTCTCTTTCTCTCTCTCTCTCTCTCTCTCCCTCCCTCCCTCCCTCCCTCCCTCCCTCCCTCCCTCCGTCGTCGTCTCTCTTTCTGTAGGTGTGTCTTTTATGTGTTCTATCTCTCTCTCTCTCTCGCTCTCTCTCTCTCTCTTTTTCTCTGTCAATATGTGTGTTTCATGTGTTTGTGTTTTATGTGTATGTTTCTCTCTCCCTCTCTCTCTCTCTGGCTGCACCTCTCTCAGGCGGGTGCCTACCATAGCCTAACATGGCCCCCCACCAAAATCCTGGCCCTCCGTGGACGAGGTGGATGAGGCTCCCGCCTGAGAGGACAGGGAACCCTGAAGAGCAAGGAAATAGGCGACAGGGGTGGCCAACGGTACAGAGACCTGGGAGGAAGAGGATTCTGATGATGACGATGATTACGATGATGGCCATGAGGACCATGAGGACGATGGGAACGAGGATAAGCATGAGGATGGCGATGCTGATGAGCATAATGATGGCGATGATGATGCTGATGATGGAGGCTACGACGATGATGATGATGTTGATGGCAATGACGATGATGATGACGGCCATAACGACGACGATGGTGATAGTGCTAATGATGATTGTGGTAATGATGATGTTGACGACGTTCACGCCAATGATGGTGATGATGATGCTGCTGATGATGATGATGACGATGGTGATGACGACGATGATGCCTATGATGAGGACCATGATGACGATGATACTGGCGATGGCGATGCTCATAATGAAAATGAGGATGATGGCTATGATGGCAGTGTTGATGATGCTGCTGATGACGACGATCTCCATGATGATGCTGATGCGGTTGATGATGCTGATGAGGATGATGATGGTGATGCTGCCGGCGATGATGCGCAACAATCTGATAACGACGATGATGATTATGACGGCAAATGTAACGACGACGACGAACACGACAACTGCGACGACGATGATGATGCTGATGATGATGACGACGACGATGATGATAGTGATGCTGGTAATGCGGGTAAGGATGATGCGGATGATGATGATGATGACGACGATGAAGATGCTGAAAATGCTGCTGATGCTGATGCTGATGATGACGATGATGATGATGTTGGCGACGACGACGATGATGATGCAGAGGATGAAGATGATGATGACGAAGAGGATAATGACCACGACGACGATGATGACAACGATGACGATGCGGGTTAGGATGAGGAGGATGATGATGATGACGAATATGATGCAGATGAGGATGATTATGGTGATGATAAGGACCATGAAGGTGTTAACAAGGATGATGGCGATGATGATGATGATGATGATGATGCTGGTCAGGATGATGCGGAAGCTGATGATGATGAGGATGGTAATGGCGAAGACACTGATGATCATGCGATGGAGGATAATGAAGATGGTTGCGTTGCTTGTGATGGCAATAAAGTCGAGGATGAGGATGGTGATTGCCAGGGTGGGTTGCTGATGATGGTGGTGGCGGTGATGACGTCTCAGATGGCGATGACAAGTATACTGATGATGACGATGGAGATAATGATGATGATGATGATGATGATGATGCTGATGGTGCAGATGATGGTGTGTGCGATGATGGTATGATGATGTCGATGGTGATGATGATGATGATGCCAATGATGGCTGAGGTTCATAATGGTGATGGTGGCGATGCTGATGACGAGCATGATGATACCTATGCCGATGAATATGATGGGTATGAAAAGTGTGCTGGTGGTGAAATGAAGATGAGAATCAGAGAATGACGGTGGGATGCTGACGACGGTGTGTGACAGCTGTGGCCGTGTTGAGTGTGCTAACGTTGATGATGAATATAATGGTGATGAGGAGGAGGAAGATGGTCATGACGATGACGATGCGCATGATGATGCTGATGATGCTGATAATGATGCGGACGGTGATGCTCATTACGGTGGTGGGAGTGGTGGTGATGAGAATGCTGAACATGTTGGTAAGTGTGCTGCTGCTGATGAGCATAAACATGGGGATGCTAATGATAGGGATTATGACGACGGGATGCTGATGATGAGTGTGACGGTGACGATGATGCTGATGGTGATGATGAATGGGATGATGATGTTGATGATGATCAGGATGAGGAGGATGATGCATACTATGACGATGATGCTGACGATGGTACTGATGATGAGGCTGTTGATTCTGATGCTTGATTTCGGCGAGGTTGGCGATGATGTTGGTGGTGATAGTGGTGTCGATGATGCGTATAATGACGATGGTGCTAATGCCGAGAAGTCTGATGAGTAACATGTCTGCGCTGGTAGTATGGCGGTGGGATGCTGTTTGATCGTGACGGTGATGATGGTGCTCATGATGATGCTAACTGTGGTGATGATGACGATGACCATTCTACGGATGATGATAATTATTGATGTTGATACTGATTGTGGTGGCGATCAGGATGATGGCCAAAATGATGTGGTCATGCTGATGCTGATGATGATGCTGACTGTAACTGTGCTGGTGCTGATGATGAGTGTGACGCTGACGATTGTGGCGATGATACTGATCATCATGACCACAGTGGTTGTGCTGGTGTGCGCTGATGATGAGAACATGATGTTGACAGTGATGATTATGGCGATGATGATGACAGGCTCCCCGAAGTGGTTCGAATGAAACCAAACGCAGATGAAGCTCGGAGGGAGAGGAAAGGGAAGGACAATCAAGCGATCACGGTGCTTTGAGCTGCCCCTGGTCCTTCGAGCAACTCGCCAAGAGCCTCCCGTCCCCGCAGAACCGCACCGCCGCGATGCCGCCAGTGTGGCCCTTGAGGGTGAAATGCGGGAGGTTGAAGCCCGTGTGCTTCTCCCGGCTCGCCTTGAATTGGGAGCCCCAAGAGGCCGCGCGTGCCAACCCATGCGCGCCAAGCCAAGCCAAGCAAAAGGCCGCCCTCATATCACGAACGATCGCAGAATGCACTCCCTAGGAACCGGTGTGCATCCATGGGAGCGTGACCCCCTGTGCCGCTCCGTATTTCAGACTTCCGGGCAGAGGTAAAGAATATCAAGAGTGCAACCTCCCCCGCGCCACGGCGCGATCTTCCCCTACCCCCCCCGGGGCCGAACCGCATCAGGGGATCCGCAACTTTGCCACGAGTGACACAAGCGGGTCCTAGCGAAAACGCAAGAAAAAGAAAAGCGGCACCACCACCACCACCAGGAACCACCTGTGGGAGGAGCCAGGGGGCGGTCATCCTGGTAGCGTGGTCCCCCCCTCTCGCTGGAGACATCCCCTATCCCCAGCGTCGGGGAGGCATCGAGGACCTCCTCGCTGCAGGTGGGCCGCCTGGTGGCGGGGGTGTCGCTCTTCCCCTGGAGAGCGGGCCCTGGATCCCAGGGGCCCTCTCCTGAGCTGCTTCTGTCGGCTCTGTGACACCTTGCCCTCAGGGGCCCTTTCCTCCATGCTGTCATGCTGGATGGTTCGTAAACTCGTAGTCCTAGTGGTCGGCATGGAAAGTGGAGGACGTCAAGGCACGACCTAAACACACACTACCAATTCTCGTCTTCTTCATATTATTATTATTATTAGTATTATTCTTATATGCGTTATAAGAAGAAGAGCAGTGGTAGTTTGTGTCCATGATGGAGCCCCAGTATACTGGGGCACCTCGGCAGCCCTTCGGGGGGTGGGGGGGGCGGCAACTCTCAACGGAAACTCTGGCTGGCTTCGCTTGTCCATGGGTTTGCCCCCCCGAGGCGTCTGACCAGGCCTTGGCATTCCCGCCGCCGGGCTCCAGGTCCCGCATGTCCCACAGGCGCACGGTGTGGTCCTCGCCGCCCGAGGCGACGACCTCGCCCAAGATGGGGCTCACGGCGACGCAGTTGACCGCTCCAATGTGGCCCATGACCCGGCAGTCCAGAATTCCTTGAGTATCGTTTAACCGGTCCCCATCCCCAGCGGCGTGGCCTGGGCCCCACTGGCCGATTTATCCCCCTAGATGGGGATATAGGTCGTTCCCTTCGGGATTCGAGGGGCGGATCCCCCACTGGGGTGGTAATTAGGTGGGGGTCTCGAAGGGGATGGGGATGGGGATGGGGATTGGTTAAACGATACCGGTTCCTGTGCTGGAGTCCCAGACGGCTATGGACCCCTCAGAGCCCGTCGAGATCAGAAGCTGCGGCTCTGGCGGGGAGAACTGCAGGTCCGTGATGCTCTTCTCGTGGGCCTGCCAATACAGCACCGGCTTGGCTAGCGCAGACATCTCCTCCATCCGGTTGGCCAGGTCCTCGAGGAAATAAGCGTCCTGGCGCGCCTCCTCGGTGGCCTGCTGCAGTTTGATCGACGCCTCCACCGCTTGGCCCACGTCCCACATCATGATCCGCGCGTCCGACCCCCCCGTGGCTAGCCGCGAGCCGTCAGGTGTCCACGCGAGGCTCCACACCCAATTGGCGTGATTCCTCGGCAGCGTCATCAGGGGTAGGCCGGTGCCCACCTCCCACAGCCGCACTGTGCCGTCCGCGCTCGCGGAAGCGAGCATTGTGTCGTCGGGTGAATACGCCACGCGCCAGATCGTGTCGGCATGGCCAGCGAGTGGGATCAGCAACCTGTGAGTGACTAGGCACCACAGGTTGATACGATTGTCGCTGGTGGCGGTAGCCAGCTGCCTCTGGTTCCTGGTCATCGCCATGGACCAAATGGGGAATATCTGCTGGTAACTCTCCCCTGTCCGATCCTGGAGGGAAATGCCGATACCGCTACTCCGCTGACCCCACCCCCAGCACACTCTGACCAGGATTTCGATGCATATCCAGCCATGGTGACGTGGGCCTCCAAGAGTGCAGAAACTAGCGCAGCGTATCAGTATAGGGGGCTTGTCTCTTTTCTGAGATCCTCCACGTTCGATGTGAGATGGAACATCCGCTTCCACTTTGGCTTC